ATATATACACACACACACACTTTATTGTGCACATGCTTTAAACTATGTTTCACTTCTTATAATTTACGTCCAAGTAGTCTTATTTTAATCTTTCAAAGTACGTTTTGATAAACACAGGTAGTTCTTTCTAAAGATACTTTAAAGTTTTTTGTTGTACTTTGACTACTTATACCTTAACAGCATATAACTAGTGTGAGCATAAAAAATAGGTAAGTGAAAAAGCGGAAGACAAAATAGGACATGTTAAACCTAAACAAACACTATCTACAACAGCTGGACAGTGTCTGAGAGTTATGTTGTTAGGAAATTKTAAAAAATCTGAGGGACGCATCATCCTTTAGATGACATCTACTGTAGGTCATTTTTTAAAGCTAATGGATCTTTGGAAACTGCTTTGTTGATGCTAAAGTACACTTAATGTGTAAAACTGTTTTATATTTGGTATTTTTCTTACAGTCAACTAAAGAAACTAACAAATTATGTCTTTGTGACAGACTAATGATATCAAARAGAAAGAGAGCTAATTTCATTTATTTTAAATTTGCTAACTTGTCTATGTGTCAACACAACACTGGTTCATTCCTTGCAGAGCTTTTTTATATCCAGATATTTTAATAAAGAGTTAAATGGCCCACAAACAAACAAAATTCCTTTTTGTGACATTAAATTTCAAAAGCTCCAGAAAAAAAAAACTTTAAAAGATCTTCAAAAAGCCTTTAAAACTATTGATTTGTCCCTTTTAAAAGATTACAAAAAAAWTTGCTGACAGAGAGGCAATATATACATACATACAAGCATATATATAAGATTTGTATACTGTAAGAATATCCATCAGTTCGTCTTAACACATGGTAGCACTTTATAACGACTACACATTATTTAGCCTTACTTAATCATTAAGAAATGGTTAGTTAACCTTGAAAACATAACTAAGGATGATTCATACCTAAGAAGCTATAAATTAAACACATTTACTAATGTCTTACCGAAAAGGATAATTACTTTCAAAACCAGCATGCTCATTGTTTGTTCATGCTTAATAAATCCTGAATTAACATTAGTTTTACGGACCCATGTATAATAGCAAACAAATAAAAAATCTATTTAAAAAATATAGTAAACTTTACATTTGAACAACTGTATTTGATTGTCCCTGGGTACTACGACTCTAAAGATTTGTGTACACAGTCAGATGTGTTTTTACATGTGCTTGAGAGAATGTGAAAAGAGGAAGATTGTTTGATATTGGAACCAGCTGTAGCCTGAGAGATGAGCAGTAAAACAACATGGT